AATTACGCCGGTTTGGCGTGTTAGTTGGAGCTCTCTGTTTTCCGCCGCACCTCTTCCGTCGGCGAGGTCTTCGAGAGTTTAGCAAGTGTTCGCGAGTTGTTGGTCGAGCATTCTCTGACAGCTACTAGTTGGCGCACCTCGCCCCGCCTTCCTCAAGTCCGCTGCCCTCTTGCAGCGCGACCTCCTACTGCATGTCCGTCAGCCTCTCCCTTCGCTTCGTCCAGTTTTGCTGGGGTGTCGTGGCGGCCGTGGCGATCGGCGACGCTCTGTGTGGGATGCGTTTTGGTCTCTTGGGCAGTCGGAGGCAATCCAGGTGCGGTCTTAGGGCCGCGCGGGCTCTCCCCGTAGGATCCATAAGGCTTTGATACGCAATGGCTCCGCAGACCTCATCGACGCGCGAGACGTAGTCGAGCTGATTAGGATTCAAACCGCAGGAGTTCTCGGCTATTCTCGGGATGTAGATGGTGGTCGTGCATGCATTTACCAGTTTGGTTTCCGCCGTCGATGCACAGGGCAGGCCTGGCAGCAGCGGGCGCCTTGCGAAATATCGGGCTTTTCTTCGCGCAGGCTCCGCGAACGCCTTCGCGCGTGGTCGCAGGCGGCCATTGGGAAGGCCAGCGCTAATAGCCCGCAGTGTTGAAGGTATCGCGCGCTCTTGCAAGGAGACGGCGGCGTGAGTTTTGTCGGCGTTGATCCTAGATATCGCCAGTGTTGGCAATGCATATTCCTTGGAATCCGCTTATATGAACTTACATCGACCTAAGGCAAGCAAGCAACATGCCTACTCCTCTACTTCGCGGACCCTATGGAGCCTGGAAGCGACCTCGACGGAGGTGCAATAGTAGGTATGCAAGCTCGTCTAGTCGGTCCCTGCGTATTTTTCATGACCAAGAGGATGCATGGCACTCGCGATGCCTCGATCAACTTTGCCGGCGACATTTGTTGCGGCAGGTTTTCCTCCAGAGCTGCAGTGAATTGCGGACCCTCCTTCGGCGTCCTGTCAATCGTGAATTTCAAGTGCGTGGGCAGCTCGGGCCCATTGATATGCGTGCTACCAGGTTCTTACCGTTTGCATTGAAATCTGTTGCGATAGGACCGCGTGAGGTTGAATGGGGCCGAGCTGCCAGCCAACGTTCTCGCCCGTCATATTTCTGGCTCGTGGCGTGGTCAGCGCGCAGTCTCCCCCCGCGCTGTCGCGATCGTTTGCGCGCTCGGGCTTGCGCCGGGCAAGCCGCTGAGCGGCGCGGGGGCCTCTTGCCGCGGAAGTGTTTCCTCTTGGTCCCGTCGGTGGCCCGTGGCGGCCAGGTGAGGCGGTGGCTCCGACGTGTCCTTCGCCAAGGCGGGGCTGAGATGCCCCGCTGGGTCTCCCTGGTTCGGGGGCGCGCCGCGGTCGGCCAGAAACCGCCCGGCCCAATTGAACATCGCCATGTGTTTGCACAATTATCGGTTTGAGGATTTCTCGAGCGGGGGGCCCGAGATCCTGGAGAAATTGGTGCGTGGTCATGATGTACCTAGGCCCCCTGCTCAATGGCCGCGAGCTTCTTCCCGCTGGGGCTCGCGAGGCAGCTTTGGGGTCTTGTGGGGAGTGGCTTAGACAGCATGGGCTGCCGCGAGCACGACTTGCTCCGCTCCGAGGTTTTGGCCCAGTTTACCGCGCCAGTTAAGCGCCATCCGCCAGTTTGGCCCGGCGCACAGCAGATGCGGCGCAGGCTTTCGCGGGCGCGGGCTTCGCAGCCTGTGTCGCTGTCGAGGGCCCGGGTCCCAGCGCGATGTGGGTTATGTGCAGTTTCTATATGATAATCCGGTGGGCATATCTCATTGGCAGTGCTCCCCATCCTTGGCAGTTGCGCGTTTTTTTTTTTTTTTTTTTTTTGTTCGGGCGTTGTTGCCTGGTATCGGGCCTGCAGCGGGGGGGGTAGCCTCCTCGGAGCTCGAAGTGCGTGGGCAGCTCTGGGCGGGGCCCCACGGCTGGCCGCTGCTTCTCGGCGGCTGAGCGAGGGGGCGGGGAGTGAGCAGCGAAGGCCCTCGCAGAGCGGCGGGGCCTCTCGGAAGCCCCCTGGCCTTTCGAGAGTCGTTCGGTGTCTTCGGGGAAGGCACAGGCAGCTTCTCGTGCCAGGGGGCCTAGACAGTTTTTTGGCGATCTCGTTGGCCTTTTTCGTTTCGGCTTCGTTTTGCAGCAACTGCGGATTGGAGACAGCGCTCAGAGGAGCATGGAGTATTGATATTGATAGTTTTGAGGATTTTCATGTTTTCCCGTCCTTCCGCGCGGGCTCCAGGGGCGAATGGTCGAGCGCACTCCGTCGCGCAGGTTCTTTGCGTGATGTGCGCGGTGCATTTTTCGCGCATCGGGGCGCCCCCGGAGATTCCAAGCTAGATTCTGTTTTGCTCTGGGGGAGTCCGTGAGTCGCAGCTGCCGTGGCGCGATTTTCGAGGTTACCCCATCGAGTGCTGTTCGCGGGCGCAGGGCGCGGCGCGCGCTGCGCCCAATCGCGCGCGGCGCGGTGCGTGAATCAGCCAGTCGCGCCCGTCGAACTGCCCGGAAATTATTCCCAGACTGTAGAATGTTTCTACCAAGCGCTTCCGTTTTTTTTTTTTTTTTTTTTTTTTTGTTGTTTTTTGTTCTTTTTGTTGCGCAAGCGGTTCCAGAAATTTTCAAAAGTGTTCCGCGCATTTTCAAAACAAACAGTTTTGAGGGTGGATTGCGCCCGCCGCGCAGAAGATCCGAATGATTCTGAAATCCGGATTTGTTCAAAATGGATTCCAGAATTTTTCAAAATCTATTCTTGCATTTTTTAAATCGATTCCGGGATTTTCCAAAAAGTAGGCCGGACATTTTCGACAAGGTTCCCGGATTTGTCAAATCTACCCCTGGAGAATTTTCCAGAGTCGCGCGTGTCTGCCTTACCAGGTTTTTGGAAACCCGCCGAGGCGTGCAGTGCGCGGCGGCGGGCGACGGGACGGTGCGCCACCGTCCCCCCCGCGCTCGGCAACGAAAGGGGGGATCACCAAGTGCTAGATAGCCCCCTACGGGCGACTACTCGATTGCGAACGGGTGCCGGACCAGCGGCGCCAGGCAGAGTAGACAATACTCGACGCAAAGTGTACCCCGCGCGAAGGCTGTTAGAAATCCCAGAATTCCCGGAACGTATCAGCAGCACGTTGTGTCAATGGATTTTTCTCGTCCTAACACGGGGGGGAACGAACGCAAAACGAAAACGAAAAACGTTGACGAGGACGGGGACGAGGACGAAGACGAGGAGGAGGAGGAGGAGGAGGAGGAGGAGGAGGAGGAGGAGGAGGAGGAGGAGGAGGAGGAGGAGGAGGAATGGGTCTTCCGAGAAGGCCCGCCCCCTCTCGTCTCCCTCCCGCGGGCTGACCGCCGAGCTTGAGCCACCACGCGGGCAGAGGGAGGGAATGTCGGAGAGGCGGGAGGAGGCATGGGAGGCAGAGGCGGAGGAGGCGGTCAACAGAGAGGCCACGGCCCTTTTTTCGTCGTCGTCTTCTTCTTCTTCTTCTTCCTTGTCGTCGTCGTCGTCCTCCTCCTCCTCCTCTTCCTCGTCCTCCCTCCTCCCACTTCCCCATCCCTCCCTCACTCACTCCCTCCCTTCTTCCTCTCTCCCCTCGTCTGCCTCGTGCTCCCTTCTCCCGCTTCCCTCCCCTCCCTCGCTCCCTTCCTCCCCCGTTCTTGTCCTCTCCTCCCCATCTCCCTCGCCACTTCTCTCTATCGCCCTCACTCCTCCCCCCCTCCCCCCCTCCCCCCCCGCGCGTCCCCTCTTCCCCGCCCCCCTGCTTCCTCCTCTGACCCCCGACGCCAAGCTTTTCCCAAACCTGTGCTCCCGTGCTGCCGACTCATCGCTCACGGAAACCTCCGCGCCACCTGTCCGACGCGGGCCCTTCATTGCCCGACGCGGCCCCCCCCACCCCTCCGGAGGCCCCGGCCTCTCCGAGAGGGGCCACCGCACTGGCGCTCCCGGCCCCCGCACCCGCCAGGTCCTGGCCGAGAAGATGTCCCAGAGCAAGGAGAAGGATTCCGTGACGCCAGCCCCTACTGCTCCCTCCTCCCTCCTCCCTGCTCCTCCTTTCCTCTGCCTCCTCCATCCTCCCTCATCCTCCCTCCTCTCTCCTCCCTCCTTCTCCCTCCTTCTCCCTCCTTCTCCCTCCTTCTCGCTCCTTCTCCCTCCTTCTCCCTCCTCCCTTCTCTCTCCTCTTCCTTCTCTTCCTCCTTTTCCTCCTCCCTCTTCCCTCCTCTTCCTCCTCTACCTCCTCTTCCTCCTCCTCCGCCTCCTCCGCCTGAGATGCGATAGGTTCGCCTCGTGTCGACCGGCGACGACCCCAGCACGGGCGCTCAACGTCGAGCGCCGCCCGTGGCCCAGAGCCGGCCTGCCGCTGCACGATCTTACGTCTCTGGAACGGCACATCCTTCAAGTTTGAACCATCTCCGCGGTCTCGAGAGGCCGGGGGCGCGCCCCCCCTGGCCCCTGGCCCCGCGCTGCCGCCGTTGCCGCCCCGGCTTCAGCGCCGCTCGCCGTGGCCGCCCTTGCCCCTCGGGGCATCCAGAGCGGCGTCGGCGGCCGCGGGGGCGCCTCGCCGGGAGGAGGAGGAGGAGGAGGAGGAGGAGGAGGTGGAGGAGAGGAGGAGGAGGAGGAGGAGGAGGAGGAGAGTGGAGGAGGAGGAGGAGGGAGGAGGAGGAGGAGGAGAGGCGCAGGAACTGGGAGGAGGAGAGGAGGACGGAGGAGGAGGTAGGAGGAGGAGGAGGAGGGAGGAGGTGGAGGGGGAGGGGAAGAGGAGGGGGAGGAGGAGGATGAGGAGGAGGGAGAGAGGAGGAGAGGAGGAGGGGAGGGAGGAGAGGAGGAGGAGGAGGAGTTGAGGAGTGGGAGGGGTCACGACACCTATCCCAGAAGCAAATTGTCGGGCTCACTTTCCACCCGCCCTCCCAACAGATGAAGAGTATCCGAGTCTCCGCATATTCAGTTGCTGTCTTTGACTGGGCAGCTACTGGGAATCAAACAGACCCCAGGTGAGCGACGTTGGGGCGAGGTGCGCCGCGCGGGCCAGGCGCGCCTGGTGCGCAAGATGCGCCATGTGCTCCACGTGCGCCAGGGGGAGGGGGAGGGGGAGAGGAGTGAGGAGGAGGAGGGGGAGGAGGAGAGGTGGGAGGAGGAGGAGGAGGAGGAGGAGGAGAAGGAGAGGAGAGGAGGCGGAGAGGAGGAGAGAGGAGGAGGAGGAGGAGGAGGAGGAAGGGGGAGGGAGGGAGGGTAGGGGGAGGGGGAGGGGAGGGGGAGGAGGGGGAGGAGGAGGAGGAGAGGAGGAGGAGGAGAGGAGGAGGAGGAGGAGGATGAGGAACAGGGCCAGGTGTGCTGCATGCTCCAGCCGCCCAGGAGCGCCACGCTCGGGGCACGCGCAGGGCCTGCCTCAGGTGCGCCCGCGCACATCGGGAAAGCATGTCGGCCCCGACCGTCCTTGGCGATCAACGGTGCGCAATCGCGGCGGAGTGGCCATCGTGATCAGGGGAGAAAAAGATACGGACACGTGTTGTCCCCTGTCGTTTTCGGCCTTTCCTGGTCCTCCTGGGGAATCCTCGTTGTCACCGCTGGATTCGCCTCGAAATTCTGGTCAGCACGCACCCCAAGAGAGGTCCGGGGACAACACGTATCCGTATCTTTCCGCCCCCCAACATGATGCCTGGTGGGCCTTCGCACAGCAGGTAATATGCCAGCTCCACCGCCGTCCCTTTCAAAAACCAATGCGCTGTGATCGCGCGGTGCCCGCGCATGACCATGATCCAGATTTAGCCGCGAAGTGCAGTTTGTACTGTTTTTTTGAGAGGGGTGGTTGCCCTGCGCAAAGCAGGCCATATGCTGTCCCCCCCCGCCGTCCCGGTCAAAACACAAACAAGAGTGCTCGCGGTCCCTCAGAACGTGACCCAAGATTTTGCTACAATGTGCTCTTCGCTTTGTTTTTAGAACAGGGGTGGCGGGGGAGGACCCTCATGGTCCCTGGTTTGTCGCCGGTCGGGCGGGGGGAGGGGGTGTACATTAAGAAGGAGCAGTGATGAACCCCTCCTCCGAGCAGGGAAAGGAGGGCTCTCCTCCTCCTCCTCCTCCTCCTCCTCCTCCTCCTGGAAGAGAGCAGCCCGTTATACCAGAGGGCTGGTGGGGTAGACGTTCTAGCTTCCCACAGGCTGGGCAGCTGAGGCGTCTAGACACCAATCTACTTGGCCGGCCAAGCAACGTGGTGTATACATCGAGCCTTTCCTCCTTCCTCCTCCTCCTCCTCCCTCCTACCTCCTCCATCCTCCTCCTCCTCCTCCTCCTCCTCCTCCTCCTCCTCCTCCTCCTCCTCCTCCTCCTCCTCCTCCTCCTCCTCCCCCTGCGAGCAGGTGGATATCCGCATCCACCGCATCCCCGGGTCACATGGCTGGACTCCAGAAGCTGTGGACGTGGATCCCTGTATCTGGCCCTCGGCCAGAAGTCCCGACCCTTTTTCAACGGCTGGCTTTTCATCCCAGTCTGCGAGACTGTCGCCACTCTTGAAAGCTGCTGGGGGGCCAGCGGAGTGAGGCACCACCCAGACTCAGATTAGACCTCGCCATCTCTAGGAGGCTGCGATCTGCGAAACTGTCGCCACTTTCGAGGGCTGCTGGGGAGGCCAGCAGAGTGACGCACTGGGCAGACTCAGATTAGACCTCGACATCTCCGGGGGACTGCGATCTGCGAAACTGTCGACACTCTCGCGGGCCGCTGGAGGGTTCCACTGAGTGAGGCATTAGACCTCGCCATCTCTGGGAGGCTGCGATCTGCGAAACTGTCGCCACTTTCGGGGGCCGCTGGGGGGTTCAGCGGAGTGAGGCACCACCCAGACTCAGATTAGACCTCGCCATCTTTAGGAGGCTGCGATCTGCGAAACTGTCGCCACTTTCGAGTGCTGCTGGGGGGTCCAGCGGAGTGACGCACTGCGCAGACTCAGATGCGACCTCGCCATCCCTGGGGGGCTGCGAGCTGCGAAACTGTCGCCACTTTCGAAGGCTGCTGGGGGGTTCAGCGGAGTGAGGCACCATTAGACCTGGCCCGGCACAGAAACGAAAGAGCGCTTCAGAAACAGAAGCCGAAATTACTCACACCACCGTTCGTACTGGGAGCCCGTCACCCCTCGCTCTTGGGAGCCTTGGTGTTCAGAGATTGTTGCGTTGCCGCCCGTTCCTGAGCCTTGGCTGGGCCTTGGTGTCAGGAACTTGTTACGTCACCGCTCTCTGCTGGGAGCCTTGGTCTTATCAGCTTGTTTACGTCACCGTTCGCTCTTGGGAGCCTTGGTCCTTGGTGTGAAGAGCTTTTTGCGTTACCGATCGCTCTCTATTTGGCGTCTCTGGGCCTTCTTGGGAGTCCTATTGGGCCCTTTGTCGGGCCCTTTTGGAGGCCTCTTGGGACGCCTCTTGGGGGCCTCTTGGGGCTTCTTGGAGGGCTCCTTGGGGGACTCCTGGGAGCTTCTCGGGGCGAAAGGCTAGACTTTTCGGTTCGTGGTCCCCCTCTTGGGGCCGTCTTGGCGCCCTCTTGGGCCGTCTTGGGCGCCTCTTGGGCCGTCTTGGCGCCCTCTTGGGCCGTTTTGGGGGCCTCTTGGGAGCCTGCTGGGCCGTCTTGGGGCGGTCTTGGGGGCCTCTTGGAGCGTCTTCAACGCACTGAAAGCCCAAAAACCTTGTATGCTAAAAAGGTACCTTTTCCCATAGGAAATCAATGATTTTCGCCTCCCGGTGGCCTCTTGGGACGCCTCTTGGGAGCCTCTTGGGGCTTCTTTGGGGGCTCTGGGGGCCTCCTGGGAGCGTCTTGGGACGAAAGGCTAGACTTTTCGGTTCGTGGTCCCCCTCTTGGGGCCGTCTTGGCGCCCTCTTGGACCGTCTTGAGCGCCTCTTGGGCTGTCTTGGGGCCCTCTTGGGCCGTTTTGGGGTCCTCTTGGGAGCCTCTTGGGCCGTCTTGGGGCGGTCTTGGGGGCCTCTTGGGCCGTCGTCAACGCCGTGAAAACAGACAAAACGCATATGCTAAAAATATACGTTTTCTTTTTGAAAATAGAGGATTTCGGCCTCTTGGGGCCCTCTTGGGACGCCTCTTGGGCGCCTCTTGGGGGCCTCTTGGGGGCCTCTTGGGCCGTCTTGGGCGGTCTTGGGCTCTCTTGGAGCGCTCTTGGGCCGTCTTGGGGGGGAACCCGAAAAACATGCAAAATCCCCGAGGGAAAACCCGAAACCGGCCATTAACACTCAAACGCGCACGCTACCCCCCTCCCCTGGAACCCCTCCCTTTAGGGCTTCGCCCACACCAGAACGTCATCACTCGTACCTCGCTCTTTCCGTTACCTGGGCCGGCACGGAAATGGAAAGAGCGCCTCAGGAATTTGCCCGAGATGGCTCATGGCACCCGTCGCTCTTGGGAGCCTTGGTGCGAAGAGCTTGTTACGTCGCCGTCTCCGTTTGGAGCCCTGGTGTTCAGAGACTTTTACGTTGCCGCTCGCTCTTGGGAGCCTTGGTGTGACGAGCTCTTGACGTCACCGCGCTCTGGGAGCCTTGGTGTCGAGAGCTTGCTACGTCCCCGCTCGCTGATGGGAGCCATGGTGTTATTGAGCGCCTCTTGGGCCTCTTGGGGGTCTTCTGGGGGCCCTGGTGGAGCCCTGGAGCCCTTTTGTGGCAATCTTGGGCCGTCTTGGCGCCCTTTTGGGCCGTCTTGGGGCGTCTTGGAAGCCTGTGGCCGTCTTGGGGTTCTCTTTGGGGCCTTTTGGGGCTCTTTTGGGAGCCTCTTCGGGCCCTCTTTGGACCTCTTGGGTCTCTCTTGGGCCTGTCTTGGGGCCCTCTGGGGCCGTCTTGGGCCCTCTTGGGCCGTTTCGGGTTCCTCTGGTACCGTCTGGGGGCCCTCGTGGACCGTTTTCGGGCCTGTTTGGGAGCCTCTTGGGCCGTCTTGGAACGATCTTTGGGGCGTCTTGGGCCGTCTGGGGCCCTTCTGGACCCGACGAAGGCGAGAACCCGAAAAACCTGCAAAACCTAAGGGGAAATCCATGTTTTTGGCATCCTCTGGCCCTCTCGGGGGCCCTCTGTAAAGCCTCTGGAGCCGTCTGGAGGCTCTCTTGGACCGTCTGGAGGCCATCCGAAGCTCTCTTGGGGCCGTCTTTGGGTCGTTGTGATGCACTCTTGGGCCGTCTTGGAGCCCTTTAGCTGCTTTGCTCGAACAAATGCGAGGAAACGGGCCGTGAAAGGCGCCCGCGAGCCGCTTCACTCGAGCAAATGCGTGGGAAGCGGCACCCCGAACGGCCACTAGACGTATGCGCTCCCCCCTCGCTCCTCCCCTGGACCCCTCCCTAGAGGGCTTCGCCCCAACTCAACGTTCATCACTCGTGCCTCGCTCTTTCCGACACCTCGCCATCCCTGGGGGGCTGCGATCTGCGATACCGTCATCGCTTTCGAGGCCTGCTGGGGGGCCCGCGGAGTGAGGCACCACGCAGACTCAGATTAGACCTCGCCATCCCTAGGGGGCTGTGATCTCCGAAACTGTTGCCACTCTCGAGGGCTGCTGGGGGGTCAAGCATAGTGAGGCACCGCCCAGACTCAGATTAGACCTCGCCATCCCTGGGGGTGTGCGATCTGCGAAACTGTCGTCACTTTCGAGGGCTGCTGGGGGGTTCCGCGGAGTGAGGCACCACCCAAACTCAGATTAGACCTCGCCATCCCTGGGAGGCTGCGATTTGCGAAACTGTTGCCACTTTCGAGGGCTGCTGGGGGTTTCAGCGGAGTGAGGCACCACCCAGACTCAGATTAGACCTCGCCATCCCGGGGAGGCTGCGATCTGCGAAACTGTCGCCACTTTCGAAGGCCGCTGGGGGGTCCAGCATAGTGACGCACTGCGCAGACTCAGATTAGACCTCGACATCTCTGGGGGACTGCGATCTGCGAAACTGTCGCCACTTTCGAGGGCCGCTGGGGGGTTCAGCAGAATGAAGTCCTACGCGGACCACCAGGAGACCTCGTCATCCCTGAGGTCCAGCGGGGCGACGCCATTTTCTGTTACCTGGGTGTTGTTTCGAGTTCCGGGGTCAACAGGAAGGCAGCGGAGAAGCTGGCGGACGAGCTAGGCCATGCTCGCTTCTTGCACTAAATGTAAGCAGGTTTGATCATTTTGTTGTGCACCGCGGCGACATGGCGCAGGCAGCGCTGCATCTTCAGCGTATTACCGACACAAGCAACACTCTTCAGTTTCCTCCCGTCATTTTCGTCGTCGTCCTCTGCCGCCTGCCACCTTCCTCTGCTCCTGCCGCGCTGACGATTCGGCCCCCGCGCGTCCTTCTCCTGCCTTTCGTTCCCGCCCCCATGTCCTCCTCAATCCTGGGCCCTCGCTTCTCGTCCTTCTGTTGTTGACTGTGAATCGTGCCACGTGAACGCATGCCATGTAGTTCGCGCAACATGTGATGGCGCCTGCGCTGTCATTGTCCTGCGCTGTCAATGTCCTGGCAAGTTTGGGCCAATTCCTCTTGCCACTTTGTGCACATGGGTTGGGTACGTCACAGGGCAATTTTCGAAACCGCTGCATGTCTGGATGTGCCTCCGGCGCTGCCCCCGGGTGCCGAAATCGGGGGAAAGCTTCCGCCCTGTTTCTCTCAGGACGCTGCATGTCTGGGGTGTCTCCTGGCGCTGCGCGGGGCGTCCCCCGAGAGGACGCGCCCAAGAAGAAGAAGGCCAAGGCCTGAGCGGCTGGAGCGCGCGGCCTGGCCCCACCCTCTCGCGCGGCTGCTGCGCCGCAGTCGTCGGAGCTCGCGGCCAGAAACCATGGGAGGAGGAGGAGGAGGAGGAGGAGGAGGAGGAGGAGGAGGAGGAGGGAGGAGGAGGAGGAGGGAGGAGGATGAGAGGAGGAGGGGAAGAGGAGGAGGGGGAGTAGGAGGAGGAGGAGGAGGAGGAGGGGAGGCGGGGGAGGGGAGGAGGAGGAGGAGGAGGAGGGGAGGAGGCGGCGGAGGAGGAGGAGGAGGAGGAGGAGGAGGAGGAGGAGGAGGGGATGAGGAGGAGGATAGGAGGAGGAGGAGGAGGGAGGAGGAGGTGGAGGAGGGAGGAGGGGGAGGGGGAGGGAGGAGAGGAGGAGGGAGGAGGAGGGAGGAGGAGGAGGAGGAGGGAGGAGGATGAGGAGGAAGAGGAGGAGGCAGAGGAGGAGGAGGCGGAGGAGGAGGAAGAGAACGAGGTGGATGATGATGAGGAGGAGGAGGAGGAGGAGGAGGAGGAGTTCGGAGGAGGAGTAATAACATTACGAATAATCATAAGAAGAAGATGATTCAGAAGAAACCGCAACAATAATACGAATACTAGTGATATTAATTACCAAACGATTAATACTACGAAGACTACTAATAAGAATAATATGGCGAATCATACTTTACTTACTAATGAGAAGACGACTAATCATACTACGACTAATCATAAGAAGCAGGCGAGTCATAGCAATACTATTACGAAGAGCAAGACGAAACATACTAATACAACGACTCATTTCGAGGGGTAAAAATATTCAGAACAAACAGAACACTAACACTACGAACTATAAAACATCGAACGCTAAGAGTACTAGTACGAACACCAATAATAACACTACGAATGACAACACAAAAGACACTGCTAAGACTAATAATACGAGTTCTAATGATACTAATAAGTACCAAACTATTCGTAATCGTACAAGGGATACGAAACACAATACTAATACCAATAGTAATCGAACTACTAATGCTCAACTAAGATGATTAATACTATGACACATGAGAAAATACCAATGCTACTCATACCAACGATATTATTAATACTCATAATCAGAAGAGTCATGCAACGAATACCAATGAAACGAGCACTATTCATACACATAAGAAATGTATACTACGAATACTACTACGAATAATACTATCAACACTAATCGCAATATCAGCAATAGTAATACTTATGGTCGTCATTCTAGTAATATTCATACTTAAATTACGAAGACTACTACAGCAACAACAACTACTACTAATACTAACGATACTAATGCTACTGATAATAATTATAACAATAATAGCATCCATATTAATAATAACAGCAAAAATAGTACCATTGCTAATACTAATATGATTATCATTATGATGATCATTTGTTTATGAGTCATGATACTAGTACTAATGAGAAGTCGAAGAGGAGGAGGACGAGGAGGAGGAGGAGGAATGCGGAGGGGGAGAGGGAGGGGGATGGGGAGGGGGAGAGGGAGGGGGAGAGAAAGGATGAGGAGGAGGAGGAAAGAGAGGAGGTGGAGGACGAGGAGGAGGAGGATGATGATGATGAGGAGGAGGAGGAGGGCGGATGAGGAGGAGGAGAAGGAGGAAGAGGAGGAGGAGGAAGAGGAGGAGGAGGAGGAATACTCATTCGAAGAAGAATAGTACGAATAAGAATAATAATAATAATAATCATACACATAATAATACTTCGAATTGTAAGAATGGAAAGAATACTGCTACTAAGCTAATAATAAGAAGAGCATCCATACTCATAATCTTCAGAATAATGACAATACCATTCAGAATAATACCAATGACAATTCTCATTTAATAATAGTAAGAATACCGTTCGTAATATTAATAATCATAAGAAGCAGAAGAAGAGGAGGAGAAAGAGGAGAAGGAACAGGAGGAGAAGGCAAAGGAATGAGGAGGAAGAAGAGGAGGAGGAGGAGGAGGAGGAGGGGGAGGAGGGGGAGGAGGAGGAGGAGGACGAGGAGGAGGAGGACGACGAAGAGGAGAAGGACGAGGAGGAAGACGAGGAGGGGGAGGAGGAGGAGGAGCAGGAGGAAGGAGCTCAGGTCACGCCGGCGCAAGACATTATCAACCTGTTATCTATCTGTCGGCCTCTCTTCAAGGTGCATGTAAGTGAATACTGACCACACTATCCATATGCAATCCTTCTTTCGGTCCCACTATTTGTCGGGCCCACTATCTATCCGTTGATCTCACTCTCAATCTATTGGAGAGGCCTTACGGCTGGTGCCGCCGACCGTGAACGACGATGACGACGACGACACTGGCGGCGGCGGCGGAGGCGGCGGCGGGGGAGGACGACGACGACGACGACGACGACGACGACGACGACGACGACGACGACGGCGACGACGACGACGGCGGCGGCGGCGGCGGCGGCGGCGGCGGCGGCGGCGGCGGCGGCGGCGGCGACGACGACGACGACGACGGCGACGACGACGACGACGACAACGAGCGTTCTCGGGGGCCTCTTGGGGGTAGTTTTGGGGCCTCTTGGGAGGCTCTTGGGGGGCCTCTTGGGAGCCTCGTTGGGGGACTCTTGGGGCTTCCTGGGGTCACTCGGGGACTCTTGGGGCTTCTTGGGGAGCTTCTTGGGGGCATCTGGGGCTCCTTGGAGCCTCTCAGGCCGAGGGCTCGAAATGTCCGTTCAGTTCTCCTTTTTGGGCTCCCTCTTGGAGCCGCCGTGGGTGCCTCTTGCGCTGTTTTGGATGCCTTTAGGGCGGTCTTATGAGGGCCTTCTTGGGTCGTTTTAGGGCCCTCCTGGAGGCCTCTTGGGCGATCTTGGGGGCCTCTTGGTCTTGGAGCGTCGGGAAGCCGACAAGGCGAGAACGCCAAAATCTTTCAAAACTGAAGAGAAATCTGTGATTTTGTGCCCCTGCGGGCTCTCTTGGGAGTGCTCTTGGAGGCTTCTTGGGGCTGTTTGAACACCTCTTGAGCCGTCTGGAGGCTACTTTGGCGTCTTGGACGGGTAATTCGGCGATTCATGTACAGCAACCCTGCACAAATAACCCTACACAAATGAAACCAGGGCTTTATTCTCAGTGGGGAGAAATAAGGCGTCCGACAAAACATTGGGTTATCAGGAGGGCAGGACCAAATTCTGGGTCACAAAGGGGACCTTTTCAAAAGGCCCTCAAGGACCGTCTTGGGGGCCTTTTGGGCCCCTCCTGCCGCGCCTTGGGGCTCCTCTGGGCCCCGGGACCGCCCGCCGGGCGGGCATGCGCATCGGGGGGCGACCCCCTCCCGGGACCCTCCCCGGGACCCCCCTCGGGACCCCCCCTCCCGGCAGGAGGGGATCAAAGGGAAGTCGGGGCCTGGGAGACGGGGGTCAGTGCAAACGGGGGTCATCCAGGGCACCGGATCCTGCAGGATCCTGCGAAGACCCCCCTCTGGCTGACCCAGGTTAGCGAGCCGCTCGTGGCCGCGAGGCGGCCGCGCCTATTGGCTGACCCAGGTTTGCGAAGACCTGCGCTGCAGTTTTTTTTTTTTTTTTTTTGTTTCATGTATTGTAGTTTTTGCTTTCCTGCTGACCCGGGTCTGGATTGACCCGGGTCAGAAGATCCCTGAGGAAGTGGCTTCCCTTCGACTCATCTACGACGTTGCTCAATTTGCTCAATGTCGGTTTGGCTGGCGCGCTTGAGGAGGAGGGCCCAGGGAAGGGAGACGGGGGACGACGGAGACGACTATTGACGGAGACGACGAGGAGACGACGGGAACGCAGACGATGACGGAGACGACGAGGAGACGACGGAGACGACACGACGACGAGGGCCCAGGGAAAGGAGACAGGGGACGACGGAGACGACGGAGACGGACACGACGACGGAGACGAAACGACGACGACGACGGCGACCAACGAAAGCGCGTCTTCGACACGCCGACAGGGTCGGCGGATCTGTCTATCTCATTAGTGACCTATCCGTCGGGACATCCACTGGGATAATCCTCGGGACAGCTAACGTGACAACCAACCGTCGGGAACTCTCGTGTCAACCATAGGGATAACCACCGGGACAACCACCGGGACAACCATCGATCGTGACAGCAATGCCTCGGGTCAACCGTCGGGATAAGCAAGGGGAGAGGCATCGGGACAAATATCCAGACAACCTCCTCCTCCTCCTCCTCCTCCTCCTCCTCTTCCACCATCGGGACAACATTCGGGAAAGTCATCGGGACAACCATCGCAGCGACCATCGGGGCAGCCAGCCAGAACAACCTGGTGGCGTCCAGGGGCCACGATCCCGACACGGGGCGATCCAGTTTGGCCTGACCTAGCTCTCAGTGGGGCAGGAATTCGCGTATCCGTAGCCATGTCGGCTCAAGCCGCTTTTGGTTCAGCCCGACACGCCCGACACGTCCGCTTGCGCTCAACGTGCCCCGGGTTTGAGCCGCACCCTCCACACGCGCGCTCTTGCTCGCGACGCTGGTGGGCAGCTGCCCCGGCGAGCCCGGCGTGGGGAGGGAGTCCTTCCCTAGTTCCAGCGAGGACGACGCGGCTGGCCTCGCGCAGTTGCGGATGACTTTCAGCCACCAGAAGGTTCGAGCGGAACCTGTCAACGCCCCGATGGGGGACCGGGGGAGGCGCGGGCCTTCGCGATGCGCAGGGCCTGGCGCCCGTCCTCGCGTGCCCGAGCCCCGACATCGCGGCCCACAACCCGATGCCGGACTTCCACATCGACCTCGACGCCGCCCCCAGTAGCCGTTGGGACGCGGTTGCCGCCGAGCTGAAAGACGCCTACGCGTCGGTGAAGCACATCCTCGACGGCACCCTCGAGGGCATGGCGAAAGTGGCCCTGGCAGGGGCGTCGACCTGATGGGCCTGCTCAACCACTCGGTGGGCCAGGCCGAAGATTCGTTGGGACCGAGTACTACGAGGAGATGCATGGCTTGGCCGCTGCTTTGGGGGAGCCCTTTGAGGACATCTGGGCATTTACTTTGATCTACAGCATCTCTGGCGGGTGCACGAGCGTCGTCGGTAACGACATGGAGGCGGGCACCGTCGTCCACGGCCGCCTCCTCGACTACCCCATGGCAGTCAAGCCGATCCAGCTGCATGCAGTGTTCACCAAGGGAGGTAGCACGGCGTTCGAGTGCGTCATATATGTGGGGTTCATCGGGTGTTTGACGGGGATGGTTCCTGGTGGGTACTCGATCTCTTCTGAACCAGAAAGACACGACACAATCTGAATGATGCAGCGGCAGCGGCGACGAACTATTTCCGGGCACTTGAAGGGTCAGTGGAGCCAGCGATGTGTATTCGCAATCTGCTCACGGACGAGGTGTCTTGGGGCCAGCCTATGTTGGCAAAGGTTGCAAGCACACCGCTGACCAGGGCATGCTACCTCACAGCTGCGGGCGTGGGTAAAGACGAGGGCGCGGTATTCAGTCGAACAGCTGGAGGAGTGGACGAGTCTCGCTGGATGGATACGTCGTTGGCCTCTCAGATGTTGCCTGGCCTCGACCTCAACATCAACCCAGACTTCGATGGCAAACCCTTCGTCTTCATCACGAACGACAATGGGGATGATCGAAGCGGTTACGGAGAATGCGACGATCGAGGAACGTGCGCGTGGAACAAGCTCAACGAGTACGACAGTTTCAACACCAGTGACATGTGGGACGTCATACTGAACCCGTGTCAACAGCAGAGCAGCACACTCATCGCAACAGTGATGAGTCCGAAGGACGGCTCATCCAACCCACTGTCCATGTGCCCGTATCCACAGCTATCTGCCTCGCTTCGCTAGATTGGACCGATGAATTAAATCGCGGTTGTTTTCTCCGTAGTTATCTGCTCTGGGTACTTCGTCGGCCGCGCACCTATCCAAAGGGTTTCTGACCAGCTAGCGCGCGTGAGCAGATTCAACATGATTGGGCGGCCCAGGAAGGGCTCCACAGAGTCGGCTGGTGGTCGCAGGATGCCGCCAGAGGCTCCAACAGGGCGCTTTGAGACCGCTCTCATTCAAAACAGGCGTACCATCATTTGGCCTCGCGTCATTTCTCCTCTGTCTCGCTCCCCGAACTTCTATTCGACGCCGCCCTGGAACTGGCGCCTCACGCCGACGTCGCCGTCCCCTTGGCTCTTACCGCGGCGCACTCGACGGCCTCTGCACAGCCGCGAGGGTCCAGGATGTCTCATAGCAGCCAGCAAGTTCCTGTCCAAGGCGTACCTTTTCCTGTGCAAAAGCTCTTCGGCACCGCCTGTTCTCCGCACCCTCGGCCGCCTGAGCCCCCGCCCGCCCGCGCCCTGTCTCCCCGATTCGTG